ACGAAGGAGGAGAGATAGGAATATATTATATGTTTGAAAGGAAAGAAGGATAGGAGCAAACTTCTATCTGATAGTTTTGGCCGTTTTGAATTACATGTACTATGACCACGATGTCAGACAGCAAATGCTCTATCTGCTCTATCAGAATCCAAAAAATATTCAGAGTCGTTATCAAGATATTCAAAGAATTTCATGCCAAACAGCTTGACATAATCATTGTGAAACTCAGAAATTTTGACGTCATATTTCTCAAAACTAGGCATTGAGCACACAGAACTTTGTAGTACTGAGGTAGCAAAATGCCGTAAAACTTGCTACACCTAGAGTAAGTGAGTGATCTAGGTACCTGACAATCCATCATCCTATTTGTGTTACAAATACCGTAAAACCTACTAAACCAGAAGAAAATATAGGTAAGTGATCTAGGTACCTGATGACCCAGCTGACGTCACCGCGGCGCACGGCCTCATACAGCGGGAGCCAGCTGTCCAGCATCTGTGCCCGGAACAGGAAGCCGTCCCACACCGTACTATGTAGCACCAGCTGGTGGTCGTCATGGAAACACTGACCTTGGGACCCCAGTAGCTTGTACGTCTGGCCGGGGAGACCCGCCATCATCTCTAGACGGAACCGAATGTGACGAACTGTGAGGCCAGAAGTGAGGTTGCGTATGGAGCAGACATCTTCCGTGGGTAAGATGACAAAGACCGTGAACGACTCCATAGTGGTACAGTATCTCTTTAACTCTTCAGGATGGTAGCGGACACGTACGTCAGACCCGCAGCAGACCAAAGGCAATGATGTTGCGGTGCATTTCCAACCATCCTACACAAATCAAAAACACGAAGTTGCACGTTTCATAGTATGTATATTATTGTTGTTGCCTGCCCTTTTAAAGTGTCTGATAAGGAAAACAAGAATGAGGAAAATATTTGATTAAATGCCCCAAAACAACGCGTCATTGAGCGTAGCCGAAAGACCGGAATGCGAGTCCTCAGTGAGTGAAATCTGATCGTGCTGTCAACATTCCAGGTCCTTGTTGTCCAACTCTTGTTCCGGCTGCCATGTCGGTAAGACTCAAAGGAGCGCAGTCACACCACCGTCCTCATGAGCAGAGAATGTTTCAGTCTGATGGAGCCATAATATGGGGATGCCTGGGGGAAAATATAACAATTTATAAACTGGATTCGTGATTTTGCACGTTGTCATACTCTTAATTATGATTCCGACAATGAAAGCGGCGACAACAATAACAGATATGATATTATTAAGTGGTGGTGATAGTGGTGGTGGCGATGAGGAAGATTGAGAGAAAGAGGACGAAGAGTCTAATTCTTAGAATATCGAATGTAACACCTTTAATCTTCGGCACGTACATAACCTTTTTGTTTTGCAAGTGTCATAAAACTCTTACAAAAACTAATGATAATAACAGAGTACAAAATGAAATGTCAGCGATGTACATACCATTTAATGTTGTCTGAAGCTTTCAACAACCCCAACTGCATTTACATTTTACATTTTTGGCTCGGGCTGCTCTCGATTTAGTGGGTTGCTTGAGGTTTGCGGGAACATTGTGACGCTAATCACGCTTCAGCTCTCCTCTACCCTCGGCTTCGACTGCTCCGAAAAGATAGTTGATAGCTTCTGCTATGACGAGCAGCGTGCGGTAATTAACGGGGATCTTGTTCTAATCACGCCCCGGCTGCTCAGGAGATCTATGTTCTTTTCCTCACACAGTGGGCGGCCCGTGCTTCCAACACACACACACACACA